TATCAAAAAGGATGGTTGATAGTTGGCATAGACTACTTCAGCAAATGGATCAAAGCCAAGGCTGCTTCGAACATTACAGAGCAAACTGTCAGGAAATTCATATGGCAAAATATAATCACTCGTTTCGGGATTCCAAAAGTTTTTGTCTTTGATCATGGAAGGCAATTTGATAATTTGTCGCTGAAGCGGTGCACGGACCAGTTCGGCATCAAGTTGGCATATTCTGCAGTTTGTCATCCGCAGAGTAATGGTCAGGCCGAAGCTGCGAATAAGCAGATCCTCAATGCTCTCAAGAAGAGAGTAGAAGATCAAAAATCCAAGTGGATAGAAGAGCTTCCTGGAACTCTCTAGTCACTTCGGACAACAGAAAAAGAGGCAACGGGGCATTCACATATTGAGTTGGTGTATGGATTCGAAGCTGTGCTTCCAGTGGAAATTGACTCAGAAAGTCTGCGAGTAAATCTCTTCTCAGTCGAGGAAAATGAGCAACTCATGAAAGAATCCCTTGACTTCCTAGATAAGATCAGAGATTCAGCTCGAGACAAAATGGCTGCATATAAGTAGAGAATTAGCAAATTTTACAACCGAAGAGTCTACCAAAGACTTCTCAAAGTCGGATACTTGGTTCTTCGGAATGCTGCTGCTGTGCAAAAAGGCCGCATTCATGGTAAACTCTCAGCAACTTGGGAGGGACCCTATGAAATATATGATGAGCTTCAGCCAGGCACATACCGACTTCGACAGTTGGATGGTACTGAACTGAAAAACCACTGGATTGCCGATGTACTCAAAAAATATCATGTGTAAACCCTTCGGGGAAGAACAATCTATGTAAGTATATTATCTTTAATTAATAAAAAGGCCTTTGAGCCACCATTTATTCAAATTAAGCTGTATTTCTATTTTTTCTGTCTTCTATGGTTTTTTGCAAAAATTCAAGGTTTTCGTTCGGCGCTGTCCGAAGTATTGCATAGTGATGCATCGTACTTCGGCAAGTCGTAAAATCTGCCAAGATGAGGATAAAAGATAAAAGCCCGAAGTATTGCATAGTGATGCCTTGTACTTCGAATGAATCTGTTCCTCTGGGCGAAGAGGCCATAGGCGCATCCGAAACATGGCCTAAAAAATAGGAACTGATAAAGCCCCGAAGTATTGCATAGTGATGCCTCGTACTTCGGATGAATCAGTTCCGGGTGGTGATTGCATTTCCGGAGTAATGCCTAGTGAAGCATTGTACTTCGGATAGATCACTGCCCCGGCATCGTGTTCCGGATAGTCGTTCCCTCAGATGAATTGAAAGTGTCACAAGAGTATTGCTCTCAGAGTCTATGACTCTTGAGCAAGAAATAAGAGCTTTTGAAAACAAAAATAGAAGAGAAAAAAAAAAGAAAAATGAGTAGAAATTCTGAAGCTGGAATACTGCGAAAATTTACCAAGGCAAAATCCTCGGCTGTGCCGAGGAAATAAAAGCAAGTTGAGGAATTTTCTAACCTAGCAATGGAAGATATGTCAGTCACTGAGTATTATACAAAGTTTATTGATTTGTCATGGTTTGTCAAAGTTTTTGTTGCTACAAAAAAGGCGAAGGCTAGGAAGTTTGAGAGTGGATTAACCACTGATCTTCAACTAAAGCTGTGTGGACAAGTGATCAAAACCTTGGATGAAGTTTATGGGAGGTCTGCACACCTTTATGCTTTGGAGTTGAAGAAAAAGAAGGAATTAAAGGAAAGAAAAAGAGAAAAAAAGATGGGGCAGAATTCTGGAAACCCTCAAGGTAACCAGAACAATTTTAAGAAGCAGAAGTACCACCACAACAACAACTTCAACTGCAACAATAATTTCCCTAATAACAATCGTCAAGGTGGACGAAATTTTAATGAAGAGCCTAAGAATTCTAACCAGGGAAATAATAAGGGTGGAAGGCGTTAATTTTGTAAGAGGTGCAAGAATATTTACCCTGGAAGAGACTGCGAGGGTAACCTAGTTACTTGTCGTGCATGCAACAAGTTGGGACATGGGGAGTAAGAGTGCTTCTCTAAAGCTTCTAACCAAAACAAGCAGGGAAATAATCAAGGAGGGGCTCAAAGGAACTTTCAGCACTAGTAGAAAAAAGTAAATGGCAAGAGGTTTAAACCCCTTAATGGGAAGTGGTTTTGAACCGCTTCGGCTTGGGGGGCTTCCCATTGCCCATTTAAATGGCAAGCGGTTCAAACCGCTTCCCATTTGTAGGGAATGGCAAGCGGTTTTGGCGCCGAACCGCTTCCCATTTAGGCTTTTTTTTTTTTTACAAAATTAATAACAATAATAATAATATAATAATAATAATGTTGCTGACTTTTAGTATTATGTTATTGATAATAGATAATAGAAGTTTATGGGAGGTCTGCACACCTTTAATAATTTTGATCATATATTTATTATAATTAGTTGATACTATGAAATTTTATACAATGTATCAATTTTTTTGTGTATATTATTTATAGAATTCAAGTCAATCTCCTAACAAATTATGCCGATTAAAGTGATGCGCCCTTTAAAAAATGGAGGAATTATTTTTCTTGCATTAAATGTTTGAATTTATTATAATTGTAGTTATATAAAGATATCTTAATGAATGTTAATTTTTTATAGTAATAGTTTATATTAAAGTTATCAAAATCAAGATTCCACTTTGAATTGGAAGGGATTTAGATGTGTATGTGTTACTGATGATAGTAGTTGTTTTAGAAGTTTTCTTTGAAGTTTTTATTTCTTACATGAGAAGGTTTTTCTTGTTTTAGGCTTAAAATTATTTAATTATGCAATTTTATTTTGACAATAATTATTTTTATGATATAGGAGAATCGAGTGAGATGATTTTTAAGTGGTTGATGATTTTATTTGGTATGTATACATGTATGGATTTTTTAATATTCGCATAGTATCTTAATAGGTATTTTATATACTTTGAAAATTAAAGTGTCATCATTATAAGAAAATTATGATTCTTGGATTGTTTGATAAATTCTATTTAATGACATGTTTACAAGCATGATAATAAATGATAATTTAATTATGAGATGATACATTTATGAAACATGATTATTATTGATTTCTCACTCATAATTATAGATTGAAACAAGTAAGTCAATTTAATGCTCTTTCATAGAATGAGATGAATCAAAGAAGGATTTCAATGTAGAAGTGTAATTATGCACATTTTGTGTGTGTCATAACCATGTAATAAATTGATTAATCACGAAATAAATTATCACATATAACTATATAAAAATATAATATTCTAACGAATAAATCACAAAAGAAATTCAAAAGAGGTGTGTGAATAGTGAAAAAGTGTAAATAATACAATTAAAATAATTGATGAAATCTAATATATATAAATAAAGTAGGCATTTTTTAAGAGCATTCGGAGCGCCACATGAGCAAAGGTATATTTTTGACCAATAAAAAATTATATTTCTATTTTATTTTGGAATTAAAAAATTCGTTTTCCATCTAAACAAAATTGACGAATGAGATTTAAGAATTTTTCCACGTAAGTAAAAACAACGAATATTGATTTATTAGGATTAAATTTATTTAAAAAACTAAAAATTATCTTTTAAAACAATCATCTTTAGATATAGGATTTATATACGTACTATTATAAGATAAATATTGATAGTGTTTATGATACGAAATAAAAATTATTCTTAATTATAATTAAATTAAAATTTGTGACATTTAGATGAAAAAATTCCAATGCATAAATTTAATTTTGTATAATTACAATTTTTAGATTAATTTCACAACAATTATTCACTTTCTGGTAAATATTAATTTATTTTATAAGACTATAAAGATTAATTTTATATAAATTTTATTTTTGCTGACATATTCTCTTTATCCACTTTTATTAGATGGAAGAGATATCGGTGTGAACTAAGTTGGTGATCCTATCGATTATTTTTTAATAAAAAATTTTTTTACATCGAAATATTACATCTAATAACTTTATTTTTAATGTAAAAAATATTATGAGTATAATCTAATTACAAAAATTATGTTTATGAGATTTTATGTATAAAAAAACCGTAGGATATTAGGATTTAAATTATTAAAAAAATTAAAAATTATCTTATGAAATTAATGGTTTTATCTAAATACCCGATTTATAAGATGTTTTTTTTCATAAAAAAAATTTAAAACTTTTAACCCAATAAAAAACTTTACCTTCTGTAAAAATTTTATGTCTAAAAATTTTAAAAGACGGATAATTTGTTAGAGATCAAGAGATCACAAGAAATATACATAATGATATATAGATTTGAGAGTTTAATTTCAAGTGTAAAAAGCAACGAATAATGATTTAGGATTTAAATTATTTTAAAAATAAAAAATTATTATCTTTTCACATTAAAGATTTTATCCTAATATGTAATCAATGAAATATCATATTTACAATTTTTTTTTTTGAAAGATATCATATTATTGTCATATAACTAAGAACAACGAATAAAATACAAAACAACAATAAATGAAGTCGCGATATAAATTACATTAAAAAAATTTATACTTTTGTAATTAACAATATCATTTTAATTAAATTATTATTTGTTTTTATTTTTTTTGTCTGATATTATTAAATTGTAAAATAAGTCAAATAATTATATATATATATACATATATATATATATATATATATATATATATTTATTAAAAAAAAAACTTAGAGTATATAAGAAATATCTTTTCTTGAGATATATGTATAAAAATCCGTGCGTCGCACAGGCTTTTATCTAATTATTTTACATACTATTTAAATATATTCTATTTAAATAAAAATATTATGAGTATCAATATTTCCTTTCTCATATTTACAATTTATTTATATTTACAATTTTATAAAAAAAATAAATAAATAAATAATAAAAAAAATTACAATTTTAGCTTGCAGCCCAGTGGTTTCTTTCCCATCCCACCACACACGAGATCTGGGTTCAAATCCCATTACTCACACATTTTTTTTTTGCTTTACAACCTCACTTTCAAATTTATTAGATTTAGAATTTAAAAACAAAAGTGAGAAACTCATAACATTTCCCCAATTCCCCAAAAATTAAACCCTAAGTTTCAAACCCAAACCTCATCGCGGCGTCGCGTGAGGAATCTGTACGTGGCTTCGTCCGTCAGGCGTGACTGCGTGAGGGCCGGTGAGGCTTTGTCCGTCAGGAACTCATGCGTGACTGCGTGAGGCGTCTCTACGCACTGAGGCGTCTGTCCGTGGCTTCGTCTGTCAGGCGTGACTGCGTGAGGGCCGATAAGGCTTTGTCCATCAGGAACTCAGGCGTGACAGCGTGAGGTGCCTCTATGCACTGCGTGTTTTTGGAAATTTGATTTTTTTTTTAGGTTAGTTATAATTTACATAATTACATTACAATAAGATTATAGATTGATTAGATTCTATATCAAATTATCAGTTTAAATGTTTAATTATCAAATTATCTATATGACCATTCACTGTATGAGTTGTTGTTGTTGTTGTTTTTTTTTTTTTTTTTTTGGGTGAAATTTCTTGATTTTATTAGAGCTTGATTATCTATATGAGTGTATGACTTTATTAAAGCTTGAATGTTATGACTTGATTATCGTCACTTGATTATCTGTATGATTTTATATATTAATTAACAAATTACGTAAATATTTATAATTAAAAAAACAAATGATTTATTCAACAAAAGTATTATCATTTTGCCCCGGGCCTAGTGGCGGACCCACGTGTAGTCATAGTGGGTTTGCGGACCACCTATTATTTTATATAAAAAAAAAATCCTGAATATCAACAATTTTAGCTTGCAGCCCAGTGGTTTCTTTCCTATCCCACCACACACGAGATTTGGGTTCAAACCCCAGTACTCACACTTTTTTTTTTTTTGCTTTACGACCTCACTCTCAAATTTATTAGATTTAGAAATTAAAACTTAAGTGAGAAACTCAGAACATTTCCCTAATTCCCCCAAATTAAAACCCTAAGTTTCAAACCCCGCAGCAGCCCCGTCGCGGCGTCGCGTGAGGCGTCTGTCCGTGGCTTCGTCCGTCAGGCGTGATTGCGTAAGGGCCGGTGAGGCTCTGTCCGTCAGGAACTCAGGCATGAAAGCGTGAGGCGTCTTTACGCACTGAGGCATCTGTCCGTGGCTTCGTCCGTCAGGCGTGACTGCGTGAGGACCGGTGAGGCTCTGTCCGTTAGGAACTCAGGCGTGACAGCGTGAGGCGTCTCTACGCACTGCGTGTTTGTGGAAATTCGATTTTTTTTAGGTTAGTTTTAATTTACATAATTACATTACAATAAGATTATAGATTGATTAGATTCTATATCAAATTATCAGTTTAAATGTTTAATTATCAAATTATCTATATGACCATTCACTGATTCACTATATGAGTTGTTTTTTTTTTTGGGTGAAATTTCTTGATTTTATTAGAGCTTGATTATCTGTATGAGTGTATGACTTTATTAAAGCTTGAATGTTATGACTTGATTATCGTCACTTGATTATCTGTATGATTTTATTTATTAATTAACAAATTACGAAATTATTTATAATTAAAAAAACAAATGATTTATTCAACAAAAGTATTATCATTTTGCCCCGGGCCTAGTGGCGGACCCACGTGTAGTCATAGTGGGTTTGCGGACCACCTATTATTTTATATAAAAAAAAATCCTGAATATCAACAATTTTAGCTTGCAGCCCAGTGGTTTCTTTCCTATCCCACCACACACGAGATTTGGGTTCAAACCCCAGTACTCACACTTTTTTTTTTTTTGCTTTACACCCTCACTTTCAAATTTATTAGATTTAGAAATTAAAACATAAGTGAGAAACTCAGAACATTTCCCTAATTCCCCCAAATTAAAACCCTAAGTTTCAAACCCCGCAGCAGCCCCGTCGCGGCGTCGCGTGAGGCGTCTGTCCGTGGCTTCGTCCGTCAGGCGTGATTGCGTAAGGGCCGGTGAGGCTCTGTCCGTCAGGAACTCAGGCATGAAAGCGTGAGGCGTCTTTACGCACTGAGGCGTCTGTCCGTGGCTTCGTCCGTCAGGCGTGACTGCGTGAGGGCCGGTGAGGCTCTGTCCGTTAGGAACTCAGGCGTGACAGCGTGAGGCGTCTCTACGCACTGCGTGTTTGTGGAAATTCGATTTTTTTTTAGGTTAGTTTTAATTTACATAATTACATTACAATAAGATTATAGATTGATTAGATTCTATATCAAATTATCAGTTTAAATGTTTAATTATCAAATTATCTATATGACCATTCACTGATTCACTATATGAGTTGTTTTTTTTTTTGGGTGAAATTTCTTGATTTTATTAGAGCTTGATTATCTGTATGAGTGTATGACTTTATTAAAGCTTGAATGTTATGACTTGATTATCTGTATGATTTTATTTATTAATTAACAAATTACGAAATTATTTATAATTAAAAAAACAAATGATTTATTCAACAAAAGTATTATCATTTTGCCCCGGGCCTAGTGGCGGACCCACGTGTAGTCATAGTGGGTTTGCGGACCACCTATTATTTTATATAAAAAAAAATCCTGAATATCAACAATTTTAGCTTGCAGCCCAGTGGTTTCTTTCCTATCCCACCACACACGAGATTTGGGTTCAAACCCCAGTACTCACACTTTTTTTTTTTTTTGCTTTACAACCTCACTTTCAAATTTATTAGATTTAGAAATTAAAACATAAGTGAGAAACTCAGAACATTTCCCTAATTCCCCCAAATTAAAACCCTAAGTTTTAAACCCCGCAGCAGCCCCGTCGCGGCGTCGCGTGAGGCGTCTGTCCGTGGCTTCGTCCGTCAGGCGTGATTGCGTAAGGGCCGGTGAGGCTCTGTCCGTCAGGAACTCAGGCATGAAAGCGTGAGGCGTCTTTACGCACTGAGGCGTCTGTCCGTGGCTTCGTCCGTCAGGCGTGACTGCGTGAGGGCCGGTGAGGCTCTGTCTGTCAGGAACTCAGGCGTGACAGCGTGAGGCGTCTCTATGCACTGCGTGTTTTTGGAAATTCGATTTTTTTTTTTTTGAGGTTAGTTTTAATTTACATAATTACATTACAATAAGAATTTAGATTGATTAGATTCTATATCGAATTATCAGTTTAAATGTTTAATTATCAGATTATCTATATGACCATTCACTGATTCACTGTATGAGTTGTTTTTTTTTTTTTTGGGTGAAATTTCTTGATTTTATTAGAGGTTGATTATCTGTATGAGTGTATGACTGTATTAAAGCTTGAATGTTATGACTTGATTATCTGTATGATTTTATTAGAGCTTGAATGGTGTGATTTGTGAATGTGATTATGTGAGTTGTGGCCGGATATTTGACCATTTGAGCCCTGCTATAGATTTATAGTATTAAATCTGTTTTAATTGATAAATGATAATAGTTGTCCAACCTTCTTATTAGCTATTGAGAATGGTGATTATGATGTTCAAGGTTTGAAATTTAGTTGGGAATCGCTAATTTGGAGATTTGGGGTTGAAGGGTGGATTGAAATTGAGGTTAATGGGCGTTGTTTTGATGATATTATTAGTTTTAATAACCTTGAGAGAACCCTTCTTGTATGATTTATCTAATTCAACCTTTAACTTCAATTTCAGAATGAAAAGAAAAACAACTCGAGATATTTCAAGTTTTTTTTACTAAAAAAGTGCCTACTCTAAATCCTCCTCCTCCACAAAATGATCCTCCTCCTCCACAAAATGATTTGCCTCCTCCACTATTTTGATACTTTATGCGGTCGATGGACGATGATGGGATAACCTATTAATCAAATCCTGGATCCGCCACTACCCGGGCCACCAGAATATTAGAAACGACTATGGTTTTTAGTTATTGATTAGTGCTGATCTTATGTTCTATGATGATTTGGCACTTTGGCAGGGATCTGGGTTATGAAGTTCGTTCGAAACTTCACAAATGTTGATGACAAGGTTAGCTAACAAGCTGCACGGCTATGTGCTTATGAATTTAGTCAAGCATCTTTGTTTTGGTTCTTAAGATTATATATTGAATATGTCTGCTATAGCATATGTCTGCGATTTCTTTGTAATGTTCAAGTTCTCTTAAAGCTGAAAACAATAATGCAATCACCATTTTTGTGCTTCAATGAAGTTATAGCTTTGACTTAATATATGAATGCCATGTACCTATTGTCATATACGAAGTATAACACTGAGTTTAGAAACCATATTTCACTCAATCATCAAGTTAGGCTCGAGTATGGAATTTTCGAATTCTACGGATAATTGCCAGCACCAGCGAATAACGTTTGAAAAATGCAAAACATAAGCAAACAAATTTCACTCAATCATCAAATTAGGCTCGAAAAATCACATAAAATTCATCTCACATAAGAATATCAAGGTAAATTAATAACAGCGCGCAACAAAATTCTAGCAGCAAAATTCTAGCAACAAAATCGATCAATAATCTTTCGTAACTTAAGTAATTATAATTAATAGCTCAATAATCCACCTTAGAAGAACCCTAAATTGACCGCTGACAATGAAATTAATAACAATAGTGTGAAATTAAACCCCAGAGTATAAAATTGATACACTATAACCAAAAAATTGGAGAAATATTTTACCTCGGAAAATGCTTCAACGCCTTCAATGGATGATAGAAAGCTCGGAAGCCGCTTCAATGGAGGAGAGAGAAAGAGGGGTGCAGCGTAAAAGAGCTCCAAGGGGGAAAATTGCAATTAGGAAATATGAGAAAATTAAGTTTATCTTAGGCAAAAATGTTTTTTTTTCGAAAAAAAATAATTAGACGAAGACAAAAATAGTTAATACTATGTACGAGTATTTTATAAAGAAAAAATAAAAATTAATAATTACACATTTGGCTTTTCTGCTTAAAACAATCTCACTTTTTCGAAATTTGGAAACAATCTTACTTTTAACCCCCATCTACTCAAAACGAGGCTTTAACTGAGTTGTCAAATTAAAAAAACCTGCTTAAGAAGGTGACTTGACACATGTCACCTTCTTATTGATTTTCATTTTTTAATATTTTTTACCACCAAACACACAGCCCCTGCTCCACCAGCTACCAATTCACTTTAACAGCCACAAAAACATCGATCAGCTCACGCACAGCCGCATCCCCACAATCACCTAACACCGCAGCCCCAGAATCCTCAGCGACCTCCACATTGCCACCACTCGCCACCACAACACAAACCGCAGCCCACGCCAATTACCTGCCAGCCTGCAACAACGACAACTTCGCAGCCACCAGCCACACCAATCACTCCCTTACCCTCATCACAAAACCACCATTGCCGCCCAACAATAGTTGATGATGATGATGCCAATTTTCGATGATGATGAACGATGGTGATTCAATGATGAAGATTAATGATGGATTTTGATGGTGTTTGAAGAAACGGATCAAAATATTTTTTAAAAAGTTAAAAAAAAAAAATTAACCTGTTAAATAGGTTGTAGATAAAAGACTCGTTTTGAGCAGACGAGGATCGAAGGTGGAATTGTTTCCGAATTTCGAAAAGGTGGGATTGTTTTGAGCAGAAAAGCCAAAAATGAAATTATTAGTTTCCAATTTTCCTTTTTTATAAATAATATTTGTTAATTTTATTACTTGTACTTCGTACAAAAACTTCATGTTATTGAATTAAATCATTGACTTATTTATAAAAATGGCACTTGATTATTTAAGAAAAAAAAAAATGGCACTTGATTACGTAATAACATTTTTTTGATTACCTTTGTGATAATTTGGAATTTCCTTAGGCAATATAATGTCAGTCGCCAATAAAAATAAGTAACAACATACTATGTGCTTTGTGAAGATGTCAAAAACTTATTTGCCCGACCCGATTCATTCGAAAGTAACATGATCTAAATTTAGACATACTATTACTATTATACTCCGTATAAAATAAAATGTTAATGAGTAAGTTGTTGGATTTATCTTAGGAAAATTTGGTAAAAGTAATCCCAACTTTTATCCGTTCGCTCAATAATCACAACTATAAATTATTTTTAAATGAGAGTGAGGGATAGCTCAGTTGGTAAGAGCTTTGCTCCTGGTTCCAGGTGATCCTGAGATCGATTCTCATCCCCGCCCTAGGTGGCTCATATGAACCAAAAAAAAAAGATTATTTTTAAATAATCCGAACTGTCCCAATCGGTCACCCAACCCGTTATACCAGGTTAAAGGACATGTGGCACTACGTTATTGGTTGAAAATAATTTTTTTTAAAAAAAAAAGTTAAAATTAAAAAAAAATCTAAAAACACAATTTTTTTTTTGAAATCTCTCTCCTCCCCTGCTCTCGTCAGCCACTTGCCGTCCACCGCAGCTACCCAAAACTAATCCCCGTCACAACTTGCCAGCCCCGACCAACTTTTGTCACCTTTCCCTTTCCTCCAACCATCCCTCAACCACCCGCAACCATGAAAACTGCCTCGTAACCACCCCCAAAACAACCACACTAACCAACCCACAAACCCCAATCGTTGAATCCCACGCAAAAAAGGGTGGGGTTGGGTCTTGCCGACGACAGCAAGGGTGGAGGGTTGGGGTAGCGTTGGGTTTGCGACGGCAGCAGGGATGGGGGTATGGGAGGGGAAGGGAGAGGGTGGTTTTCGGGGCTGGGGGTGGGAATCGAAGGGTGATTCGGGGAGGGGGGGTCGATTTCGCTGAGTATGTGGTGGGGAAGGGGGGATTCCAGTGGTGGGGGATGAGGAGAAGGGCTGCCGGAGGGTGGGGGATGGGATGGGGGCTGTCAGAAAATAGGGAAAGGTGGTGGTGGTGGGCTTGTCGTGGGTAGGGATGGGATGGGCTGGATAGTTTTTTTTGTTTTTGTTTTTGTTTTTTTTAATTTTTCTTTATTTTTAAATTTTCATTTTATTTTTTTAACCAACCATGTGGTGAGTATTTTAAACAAAAAAATAAAAAAATCTTATCTCTTTAACAGGATATCGGTCACTTGGGACCATTAAAAGCGAATGACCCTCAAAGTTCGGATTATTTAAAAATAATCCATAGTTGGAAGTATTTTGAGCGAACGGGCAAAAGTTAGGATTATTTTTTACCAATTTTTCCTTTATCTTAATGCATAGTATTGTATTATAAAGTTTTTATAAAATTTTATTTTATATAATAGCAATAAAAGGTTCATAAAAAAAAATTCAAGTATATCAATTATTCAAGGACAGAACAATTATGAAATTGTACATGCGACTTTATGAGTATTGGAAATGAAGGATAATTCAGATGGTGATTATTTTTATGAGTATTAGTAATGAAGGATAATTTAGATGGGATTATTTTTACCAATTTTTCCTTTATCTTAATACATAGTATTGTATTATAAAGTTTTTATAAATTTTTTATTTTATATAATAGCAATAAAAGGTTCATAAAAAAAAAAAATTAAATCAATTATTCAAGAACAGAACAAGTATGAAATTGTACATGCGACTTTATGAGTATTGGAAATCTAATATGTTTATATATATATATAAAGTAGGCATTTTTGGAGAGCATTCGGCGTGCCACATAAGCAAAGGTATATTTTCGACCAATTAAAAATTAGATTTTTATTTTATTTTGTAATTAAAAAATTCGTTTGCCACCTGAACAAAAATGACGAATGAGATTTAAGAATTTTGCCACGTAAGTAAAAACAACGAATATTGATTTATTAGGACTTAATTTATTTTAAAAACGAAAAATTTTCTTGTAAAATAATCATCTTTAGATATAGGATTTATATACCTACTATTATAAGATAAATTTTGATAGTGTTTATGATAAGAAATAAAAATTATTCCTTAATTATAATTAAAATTTGTGATATTTACCATTATAAAATGACGCATCATATGACACCAACAAAATTTCGTATCAATACAAACCAAACCAAGCAAATCTTGTGTCATTAATTTTGTGTCAGTTTTATTAGGTCATCAATGGCTAAGTAATTCTTAGCCTAATTTTTAAAACCCATGTTTAAATTATATTTGTGATTATTGCTTAAATTGTGTTTATTTGGGACACTTAATGATTATATGTTTATGTTTTGTTTACTGAATTTTGTTTTTACATGCAGATCTAATTTAATCAGAGAATTATATTCGAGCAAAAATCTTTGGAATATCAAAGTACGAGTTTCTCGCCTGATTAGCTATTGGATGAGGAGGTATTATATCGTTACAAATCGTTTACATTTATTAAATATTTTAATGAACCTTTTTGTTTTTATCAATTAATTTATGATTAAAACAAATTTTTTGTGATTTAGGTAGCTTAATTAAGTCATAAAATTAACTTAATTTTTTATTTTTAATTACAGGGTAATTACGTTCATGCCTCAATTAAAGTCAACTTTGTTCTACAATTTTGTTCAAAATTGATTGAAGGAAAAGTTTACTCCATTAGATACATTTCAGTCGTTACAAATAAGAAGCAATATCACACGCATTGTCAGCGACAACAAAATAACGATTGAATTTTCCAAACTACTATTGTTTGGGCGATTGGGGACGATGAAGAAATTCCAATGCATAGATTTAGTTTTGTATAATTACAATTTTTAGATTAATTTCACAACTATTATTCACTTTCTAGTAAATGTTTTAATTTATTTTATAAAACTGTAAAGATTTTTATATAAATTTTATTTTTGCTAACATGTTCTATTTATCCACTTTTAGATGGAAGAGATATGGGTGTGAACAAATTTGATGATCCTATAAATTTTTTTTTTAATACAAATTTTTTTTACATCGAATTATTACATCTAATAACTATTATTTTTAATGTTCTTATCAAAATATTTATTAGGGGAATAAATTACATAAAATTAATAAAAAATTATCCTTAACAAAAAATAGAAAAGTAATCAAAAATATTATGAGTATGATCTAATTACAAGAATTATTTTTATGAGATTTTATGTATAAAAATCGTGGGATATTAAGATTTAAATTATTAAAAAAAATAAAATTATCTTATGAAATTAATAGTTTTATCTAAATACCCGATTAATAAGTTGTTTTTTTCATTAAAAAAAATTTAAACTTATAACGCAATAAAAATTTTTATCTTCTTTAAACATTTTTTGTCTAAAAAATTGAAAAGACAGATAATTTGTTAGAGATCACAAGAAATATATAAAATGATATATAGATTTGAGAGTTTAATTTCAAGTGTAAAAAGCAATGAATAATGATTTAGGGTTTAAATTATTTTTAAAATAAAAAATTATTATCTTTTCACATTAAAGATTTTATCCTAATATGTAATCAATGAAATATTATATTTACAATTTTTTTTTGAAAGATATCATATTATTGTCCTATAACTAACAACAACGAATAAAATACAAAGCAACAATAAATGAAGTCGCATTGTAAATTACATTAAAAAAATTATACTTTTGTAATTGGCAATATCATTTGAATTAAATTATTATTTGTTTTTGTTTTTTATTTTATCTGAAATTATTAAATTGTAAAATAAATCAAATAATTATAAAAAAAAAACTTAGAGTATATAGGAAAATATCTTTTCTTGAGATATATGTATGAAAAATCGTGCATCGCATGGGCTTTCATCTAGTGAAGGATAATGCAGATGGTGAGCTTCCCTCCTGGTTACAAGGGATCCTCAGAACAGTTTGACGGACAGGAATAAACATTAAGACTAATTCAATAACATATTACCCAACAACTTTTGTTTTATATTTTTGTATACTTGTTAAAAAAATGTAGTAAAAGTTATGAGAAATATCAAAGTCAAACTATTACGAGTATGAATATTCTAGAGAGAATATTTGGAATGTACGCATGAGGCGAAGTTATTAATAAGATTTTATTTGGCTATATTTTATTTATTTATACATTAGTGTAAAAGTAAGGTCAAAACTTAGTCAATCCCGCACAATTAATCTAACCAATCCAAACTAGACAAGATCGATCGTTATTAAAATCAGACCAAAACATCTAATTTCAGGTGAAAAGAACAAATCATACATTCATGTTGACAACTATTCTTTTTTTTTTTTTTTGGAAAATTTTCATTGTGTCATTGACATTAATCAATGGTAGCCAAAACATTTTCTAATTACCATTGGTAGCCTTGAACTTGTAAAATTTATCAAACGCGATATTAATGATGGTTTTCCATGAAAAATTTAGTTTAATCTAGCACTTTGTAATCAAATTGAAAATGGTTCTGAAAATAAAAGAAATTGACTATTATTATTGGTAACTTGGCCCATACTTTTGACTATTTGGTTAAATTTTTTGTT